CGTTTGCAGAACCCGGCTTCTGGCATGGTTGTCCTTCAATTAGTGTTCTTTCAATTCTATTCAGGATGACTTGAGTGAACAGCTTGTAGATGACAGACAACAGGAAGATTGAGCGATAGTTGCCAATGTTGTGGATGTCTCCCTTCTTGCACAGTAGTACAGTTCTACTGGTTTTCCTTTGGGAAGGAACCCTGCATTCAGACAGGTAGCGTGTGAAGAGCAGAGGCAGAGTACTGATGAGTACTGACGACAGGTTCTTCAGCTGTTTGGGTCTGACCTTGTCTGGGCTGTGTGCTGTTCACTTCTTTACCGACAAAATGGCGTGTTGGATTTCAGAGGGGGGAACTTTGGGAATGACATATCCATCCTGCGGAAATTGGTATGTGGGCAGGTAGACGTGGCTATTGAAGAGATCTGAGAAGAAGTCGTAGGTAATCTTCTCCACTGCACTTATGGAAGATGCGATAGATCCATCAGGTCATCTGAGGGCAGTCATCTTGGTCTTGTAGTTGGCAAAGGACAGGCAGGTGTTGCGAATGCTTTTCCTGGCTTCTGCTGCATCTGCCAGCACTGCTGCTCTTCTCTCTTTGAGGTCATCCTTTATCGCTTCTCTGCACTGCATTGTGAGCTTGGACATTCGCTTGCGGTTGCCTGAGGCTTGTGCCAAGCTGGTTGGCGAATGAGCTCGAGTTTTCAAAGACATGTGTTTTTTTTGTGTGTGTGTGTGTGGCTCTCTCTCTCTCTCTCAGCATTCCTTGCACAGTCATGAAGATGCTGGACCAATCGATCGTAATCTTTGCCAATGTTGTCAATGATGGCATCTTCCCATGTTGCCGCAATAGTGCCAAAGAGCTCCCAGTCATCTTTTCTTGGGCACTCAGATTTTTTCCAGATTCTAGCTATTGTAAACAGCGCTACAATGAACAAACAAGTGCAGATGTCACTTAGACTATAATTTTTTGCCTCTCTGGGATATATTTACAGGAGTGTATTGCTGGTTCAAATGGGAGCTCAATTTCTAATTTTTTGAGAATCGTTCATACTGTTTTCCAAAAGGTCTGAACGAGTCGGCATTCCAACCAGCAATGAAGGAGGGTCCCTTTCTCGCCATATCCCTGCCAACACCGGTTGTTTTTGTTCTTTTGGATGTGGGCCAGTCTCTGTGGTGTGAGATGATATCTCATTGTTGTTTTGATCTGCATCTCTCTGATTAATTATGTAGAGCATTTTCTCATGTGCCTTTTTGCCATTTGGATTTCTTCTTTGAGAAAATTTCTCTTAATTTTGTCGCCCCATTTTTTGATGGGGTTGAATGTTTTCTTCTTGTGGAGTTCAAACAGTACTTTGTATATCCTTGATATCAACCCATTGTTGGATGTGTGTTGGGCAAATATCATTTCCCATTCTGTAGATTTTCTTCGTATTTTGGTCACTGTTTCTTTGGAATTGCAGAAGCTTCTTAGTTTAAGATAGTCCCATTTGTCTATCTCTGTTTTCACTTGCTTGGCCAGTGGTATGACATCTTTTATGTTACCATTAGTTTCAAATTCATGGAGGGTTTTGCAAAATTTGTCTTCAATGTACGTTATGGATTCTATTCTGATGTAGAGGTCTTTTATCCATTTGGATCTTACTTTTGTATATGGTGTTGTGCAGATATCTGAGCCCATTTTTTTGCATGTAGCCATCCAGTAATCAGCACTTTCCACAGTCATCATTTCCAACTGTCATTGTCTTATTGGTTGCATCTCTTTCCTAACTGCCCTCTCCCCCTTACTTCTGGCAACTTACCATCCATGGACCAGTCTTCCTGAACCTTTTTTTCTACTGTAAATATGTCAGAAGAAAGGGACAGACACAAAGTGATTGCAGTCATTTTGCGATATAAAAAACATAGAATGAGACTAATACGCAAAACAATTTAAAAAAAACTGAGCAAGACTGGAGAAAAGGCAAGATCTAAAAAAATTTATAAATAAAACTTAATGTCACATAAAGATTCTTTTCTCTACAACCAGTGCGCAAAGCATAAGGGAAGTCCCAGGAAGCAAGTGTAGAGCACTCTGAGTGTGCTTTGGACCCTCATTACCAAATATCTAGCCTGCTCTTGTTCAATCTCTTTCAAATTCACAACTTGAAAACAGATATCATAGTTAAGTCATGACAATACCGAGTCTGAGAGACATAGATATGGTCACCCGCAAGGAGGAGAAATTTCCTGAGTTTACCCATGGTCATACGGGAGAGTTTTGAATTCCTAACTCAGTAATGTGTTGATGTGTAATCTTTGCTTTCCTTTATGTCTCTTATGTTATCTCTGAATCTCATCCAAACTTACAGTTTTTATTAGTTATTAATGACGTCTGATTTATACCACATTTCTCTGATGGTATCTGTGAGTTAATGGGGCCCATCTTTATGCCCACAGACACTCAGAAGTCTGTCACTGATGGCCACATTGCTACACTTAGCAGGAAGGATCGGGTACATTTCTTCCTCTAGGTAAATATAAAATATTTTCCCTATGATTCCAGTATCTCAATAAGCCAGAAAGTCTAATATACAGTCTGCATCTGCAATGTTTGTCTCTTATATTCAGTTTCCAGTGGTAAAGAAAGGTTACCTTAGTCATTTTTTTTTTTGAGGAGTCGAGGCAGTTCCATTTATTTTGAGAAAGTGAGTTACTTTAAGTGTTTGAGTATATTAATCCCATATCTTCATTAGTTGGAAAATTTATTCTCATCATTTTTTCCAGGAAATAATTTAAGGTACTTTTTTATGTTGAAAGATTTTTTTTATTGTTAAATTTTTAAAAATTTTTTTATTAGTGAAACACCATTAGGTACAGTTATAGACTTATAAATTTTTGTGCTTGGTTTCAGTTATACAATGATCAAGTATCCATCCTTCCACCAGTGCCCATCCTCCACCATGGGTCCCAGCATACCTCCCATCCCCCATCCTCCCCATCCCACCCTGCCTCTGTGGCAGGGCATTCCTCCTTGTTCTCTCTCTTTGTTTGGGTATTTTGTTTTGCAAGAGAGGCATTGAGTGGCAATCATGTTTGGTCTATAGTCTACTTTCAGCATGCTTCTCCCACCCTGGGAGAATCCTCACAACACCCTTTATTTGGTGCTCTCTTCTCTATCTGAGCTTCCTTTTCCCCTAGCACGTGTGGCTGACCTTCAAGTCATGGAGCAAAATTCCTGGTACTAATCTCAGCCATTCCTTGGTGTTAGTCTCCCATTGTGTTGATTTATGTTCCTCAGATGAATGCAGTCTTTCTGTGTCTATCCCGCTCTTTCCGACTCATTTCGCTTAACATGATAGTTTCCATGTAATACCACTTGTATGTAAATTTTATAACTTCATCTTTTCAACAGCTACATAGTACTCCATTGTGTAAATGTACCAAAGTTTCTTTAAGGATTACCTTAGTCTTGATCACAATGCTATGTTGAGATTTTAAATTGAAAAATATTCACTAATCATTCAACACTTTGTCTGGCAAATAATCAGTGTTCAATCTACAAGAGGGTTAATAATCCTTCCTCAAAATAAATGTTGTTGTCATAAATCTCCAAGGTTCGTAAATCTCCAAATTCTGGGACAATACTTTTAGATTTATAAAATAAGCCTGTATAAATAGATATCTCACACTCTTTTTTTTCTATTTGATGTAATATATTTTGACCTATTTACATATATGCATATAGACTTTAAAAATCAATGAAAGAAATTATATGGTAAATAATAGGTAATTAGTGTCAATCTGTAAATATATACCACATAATTTATAATAGCTAATCTCTTGCAGGATGCTTGAGTTATTTTAATGATTTGGGTATTATGAGTAGTGTTATAGTGAGCATAGTAGTGTACATCTTTTTTGTATAGCATTTTATTTGATTGATAGACTGCTGTATCAAATGGTAAATATATTTTTAAGATATCACCATGCTTCTTTGATGCAAATAAATTAAATTTATTCTCACTAATAGTGACTTTTATTCCACACCATCACCTGTTCTTGATTTTTCTGCACATTTGATATGATACATTTTCACATGTGTAAGGTGGTATCTCACTGCTGTTTTAATTTGCATTTCTCTAATAATAAGCAATAGTGAGTAAGTTTTGTCTGCACATTTTCCATCTGTATCTTTTCTTTGGTAAGATTTCTCTTCAATTTCTTGTCCATTTTAAAGGGGGCAGTATGTTATTTTATTGTTCAGCTTTATGGGTTATTTATGAACATTGTCTGTTCATCTTTTCCCAGGTAAAGGACTACAATAATCAAAAGTTAAATCCTATGAAAAACAAGGTTCTTTGTTTGTTATAGTTTATTAGTTTATTGTGGTGTTACCTCACATTCAGTCACTATTCATCTTGGGGAATTTGGAAAGATAGAACTAGTGTCCCTGAGCAGTTCATTCTCTAAGAAATACTCGCCATCCTGCTATTTATCTTGAATCTAAGGACAGCAAATATTCCCTCCTTCAACTATGTTGGAATGATGTCAATTAGCATATCATGGCATGCTAAAAAATGAGGAGTAGGAGAGCCAGTGTGTGTTAATTAAGATTTAGATTTTTGTTAGATACACGTTGTCATTCCTTTCAATGTTATCTGTAGCATCAATGCAACTGTGCGCACTTAGATTTTTATGGCTTTGTACACTCCTTTAGCACTGAGACTTTGCATTGCTTGCTTACTCTTGTGTATAGAACTTTGTGTATTGCTTTGTACACAGAATTAATTAAGTTGTTGTTCAAAGTATTTTTCCAGGTTAAGAAAAATATCTTATAAATTATGGAGATATGATATATTATTAGAACCTGAATGGTACTTGGTGATTCGTGCATACATACATGTGAGTTGTGAACAAACTCTAGTTAAAAAATAACAGCACTTTCACGTAAAAATTGTGTTACTATAATATGGCTATTTAGTTTCTGAACATTTCCCTCTCTTTGACTAGTAGAAGAAAGAGGAGCATCATGAAGAAACAGAACGAGACCAGAGTTTCTGAATTCCTCCTCCAGGGTCTCCCTATACCACCAGAAGAACAGAGCTGGTTCTTGATCCTCTTCCTGGTCATCTACCTAACCACTGTGTTGGGAAACTTGCTCATCGTCCTACTTATCAGGGTACACTCTTGTCTCCACACACCCATGTACTTCTTCCTTAGTCTTTTGGCTTTCAATGATGTGTGTTTATCATCTGTCACGGTTCCTAAAATGTTAGTGGACATGCAGAGTAATCACAAGTCTATCCCCTACTCGGGGTGCATTTCTCAGGTATATTTTTTAATATTTTTTGTTTGTACTGACAATTTCCTTCTTGCAGTGATGGCCTATGACAGGTATGTAGCCATCTGTCAGCCATTCCAGTACAACAAGATCATGAGGCAGGAGCGATGTATCTCATTAGTAGCTTGGTCTTGCATCATCAATTTTTCACAAGCACTGATGCACTCCCTGCTCTTGATCCAAGTGTCCTTCTGTGGAGATATAACCATCCCCCACTTCTTCTGTGAACTCACTGCATTGCTGGAGGTAAGCTGCTCAGAAACTTCACTCAATAACATGGTCATATTCATTGAGGGAGGAATGTATGAATGTATTCCATTCATTTTTATCATGGGATCTTATATCTGCATATGGTCCATTGTTCTGAAAAATCCTTCTACTAAGAAATTCTTCAAAGTCCTTTCTACTTGTGGTTCACATATTCTCATTGTAGTTTTATTCTATGGAACCGTTGCAGAAGTGTACTTTTTTTCCTCACCAGCCATGTCCAGTGCTAAAGAAATAGCTGCTTCTGTGATGTATATGATAATCACTCTGATGCTGAATCCTTTTATCTACAGTCTGAGAAACAGAGATATAAAACAAGCCCTAAAGGTATTTACCAATAAGATGATATTCTTTAAGTCTGAATGATATAAAAATTATATACAAAAGTATAAGGAAGCTATTATACAAGAATACATATTCTCAGAGCTCTGATAAACCTGTTTACACACAAATCTCTGAGAGGTTGGTATTTCTGTGTCCCACTCTACTCACATAAAACAGGTTTTATTTCCCAGACTGACCGGTCAAGAGAATGTTAAAGGAAGAGAGGCTTACAGAAATAATGTTTTCTATTAAATTTTATTCTGAATGTCCACTATAAATTTTTAATGTTTACGTTGCATTTCCTCTTAAATATGGATTTATACCAGTCCTCAGAATCTTGATATTGCCATCAGATATCAAGAAAGGAGGAAAGAAAGAAAGAAAGAAAGAAAGAAAGAAAGGAGAAAAGGAAGAAAGGAGGAAAGAAAGAGAGAGGCAAGTTCTATGCTATTTATAACAAACAAACAACTGTTCTAAAAACAATCATAGTCAGTGAAAGGTGAAAGGTGAAAAGTGAAAGATCTACACAGGAAATGATAATGACAGAAAAGTCAGGGAAGCTATATTATAAGATAAACTTTTGGCACAATATGGTAGCAAGACAAAGTTATGGAAACAGGGTAATTATAAAAATACCAATCCACCAACATATAGTTTATTAGAACATATGTAACCATTATAGGAACACAAAATTAAGTAAACCATTATTGACCTACATTGAGGGGAATATTATGGCATTCCAAATATGAGAAATCTTAAATGCATTTACAACAATGGATGAATAATCCATAAGAAACTTGACAAGGAAATAATGGTCTTACTGATGCATTAAAGAGATCTTTCTAATATATTAAATGGTTAGACTATTAAGGCAGAACATTTAATCAAAAATGGTGCATTGGTGGTGGGCAAGGCGTGATAACATTTTCTCTGAAATAATATATTATACATATATAAGAATTTATTCTCTTGCTACCAAGTTCAAGTCAATAATTTTTTATTTAAAAAGCTACAGAACAGGTACCAGAATGATAGTACAGCTGGTTAGGTGCTTGCCTTCATGTGACTGAGCTGGGCTCAATTCCAGCACTCCAAATGGTCCTCTGAGTACTACCAAGACTGGTTCCCAAGTTCTCAGGCTGCGATTAACCCCTGAACATTACTGGTGTGTCCCCAAAATGAAAACAAATAAAAAGAACTGACTGGCATAAGAAATAATACAGGGGGCCAGGCACTTGCTTTGCAGACAGCTGACCCAATTTTGATCCCTAGCACACATATGGTCTCTGAAGTACCACCAGGGGATACTCCAGAGCACAGATTTAAGAATAGACCTGGAGCATCACCTAGTGTGACCCATTCCTTGCACACAAAATTAAGCAACAGAATACACCTTCTTTTCATGGGTGTATGGAATAGTCACCAAGTTTATAAAGCCTATGATGGGACACAAAATAATTCTCGATAAATATAAGAAAAGTCAACTCAAATCAGGCAAATTTTCTGTACTGATGAAACCACAAATCAATCATAAAAGGTTGGTTAAAAGATCAAAATAGTGGCATGATATTACATGATCCTGATCATTAATTCACTTGATTAAAAAAGAATGAGAAATTAAAAATATGCAAAAGCAAGGAAAGTGAATGGATTATCTCATTAATAAGGTAAAGGTAAAGGCCCTCCCGTTGATCGTCGATTTGCTCGAGCGGGCCCAGTAACGTCTCCATTGGAGACTTTGTTGTTACTGTGTCTGGCATATCGGTAGCTTGCCTGGCTCTCCGAGAGGGGTGGAGGAATCGAACTCGGGTCGGCCATGTTGGCCGCTTGTAAGGCGAACGCCCTACCCGCTGTGCTATCGCTCCAGCCCCCTATTGACAAAATTTGCTAGGTACTTGATAAGGACCTAGGAGAGTATCCTCAACAAATGGGAGAACAGGATAGCTGCATTAAAAAAAAATTTAAAAGAATCTGAATCCCTGTCTACCATGCAGAGAATTAATTTTAAATGGATTAAAGTCCTTGATAGTTGATTCAAATCCAGAGAACATATACGGAAAACATGTCATAACTCTCCTTGATATTATCTCAAGAAACAACTTGACTCAAATCATTGGCCGGAAAAATAGAACTAATCACAAAGGAGATCACATTGGATTATGAACTGTTTCCTCTCCAAGAGAAATGACTAGAGGGATGTGGTGAAAAGAGAACCTTTATTTTCTGTTATGGGAATGTCTTCTCAATCTCTATGGAAAGAGATATGGAAATTTATTTTTGTTAAATAAGAACTCTGGACTCTGCACCAGGCTGTTTTCACTCAGGGCGTCCCAGAAAGAGGGCAGGCAAGAATCCTCCCCTCCCCAAGGTACCCAGCCTCGGCAGCTGACCTCTACTACCCAACCGCCACCACGCTCCAGGCTGCTTTCCTAACACATTATAAGACACTTCTCATTTTCCATAATTTCCACACCATTTTGATGGAGTTCAGACAGTAGGCAACAAATATATATATATATATATATATATATATATATATATATATATATGAGAGCCCAGCAAGCTACAGAGTATCCTGCCCGCATGGGCACAGCCTGGCAAGCTCCCCGTGGCATATTCGATATGCTAAAACCAGTAACTTTAACAGGTATCATTCCCTTGACCCTGAAGATGAGTAAGATGAGGCTGCTAAGATCTCAGGGCTGGGACGAAAAGAGGCCTTACTGGCACCCGCTCAAGTAAACTGACGAACAATGGGATGACTGTGATACAGTAATACAGTGAAATAAGATTAGAGCTCCCATGCAACAGAGCAATACCGCTTCTTGACATCTATCCCTAAACTATAAAAACATGAATTTAAAAGGATATATGCACATTATAATCATTGCAGCATTTTGTACAATAGTCAAGATATGGATTCAGCCCAAATGTCCAACTATAGATGAATGAGTCAAGACACTGTGGGATATTTACATTATGAAATCTTGTTCAGTTTTAAGAAAAGATGAAATCACACACTTACTTCCTACCTGGATGGATCTGGAGAGTTATACTGAGCAAAGTTCATCAGAGGGGATGAATAGATACGGAGCAATATGTCTCACGTGGGTTAAAAGATACACAGAAATGAAACAAATAACAGAAATGGAGAGACAGTTCACAGAGCTGAGTTTAAGGGGTCAGAGATGTATCTGAGTAAAGTAAAATTTTAGACAATTCTTTCAATGACTAAAAATGGAAAGAATATACGCATAAAATTCAATACAATATTTAAGTTTAAAATACTTATAAGATATGTGGCATAGAATCCTTTAATTTGTGATAAGCACAGATTTCAAAAGATTTATAGTAATCTGTGTGCCAGCAATTCTATTATGGGAAGTTTGTAAATCATTGACCTAAATCATTTTTTAATTATTTCTAAAATAAGAAAATACATTTTATTTTTTTAAAAAAATATTTTCTCTCTCTCTTTTTATTAGTGAAACATCATGAGGTACAGTTGTAGACTTACAAACTTTCGTGCTTGGGTTTCAGTTATACAATGATCAGTCAAGTACCCATCCCTCCACCAGTGCCCATTCTCTACCACCAATGATACTAGTAGCCCTCCCACCCCCACACCCTGCCTCTGTGGCAGGGCATTCCCTTTTGCTCACTCTTTTTTTCAGGGTATTGTAGTTTGCAATAGAGGTATTGAGTGGCCAACATGCTCGGTCTATAGTCTACTTTCAGCACACATCTCGCATTCCGAGTCAGTCCTCCAAACATCTTTTACTTGGTGTTCCCTTCTCTATCTGAGCTGCCTTTTCCTCCAGCATGTGCTGCCGGCTTCCAATCCCTGGAGCAGACCTCCTGGTACTTATCTCAACTATTCTTGGGTGTTCGACTCCCATTCTGTTACTTTATAATCCCCAGATGAGTTCAGTCTTTCTATGTCTGTTACTACTCTCTTTCTGGTCTTTTTCACTTAGCATGATATTTTCCATGTAGAAGCACTTGTATGTAAATTTTATGACTTCATCTTTTCTAACAGCTGCATAGTATTCCATTTTGGAGATGTACAAAAATTTCTTTAACCAGTCATCTGTTCTCAGCAACTCAGGTTTTTCCCCCAAATTTTGGCTATTGTGAACAGTGCTGCAATGAATAGATTTCAAAGTAGTCTCTGATGATCTTTTGAATTTCTTTGGTTTATGTTGTGACATCCCCCATCTCATTTCTGATTCTGTTTATTAGGGTTTTCTTTCTCTTTTTCTTTGTGAATGTTGCTAGTGGTTTATCTATCTTGTTTATTTTCTCGAAGAACCACCTGTTGGTTTCATTGATCTTTTCATTTGTTTTTTGGGATTCTATATTGTTGATTTCTGCTATAAGTTTTTTGATCTCTTTCCTTCTGCCTGTTTTGAGCTCCTTTTGTTGGTCCTTTTCTTAGACCTTGAGCTATGAAGTCAAGTTGTTTATGTGGGCTCTTCTTCCTTCCTGAGAAATGCTTGCAAAGCTATAAATTTCCCCCTTAACATGGCTTTAGCTGCATACCATAGGTTCTGGTAGCTCGTGTCTTCATTCTCATTTGTTTCCAGGTATCTTTTGATTTCTTCCTTGATTTCCTCTCTGACCCACTCCTTGTTCAACATTGAGTTGTTTATTTCCAGGTGTTTTATTGTTTTATTTTCTGCATATGTACATGATTATCTTCTATCTTCAATGCATCGTGGTCTAAGAAGATAGTTGATACAATGTCTGTGTTCCTGATTCTGTTGAGGTATGCTTTGTGGCCCAGTGCATAATTTATTCTAGAACCTGTTCCATGTGCACTGCAAAAGAATATGTATTCTTTTTGGGGGGTATAAAGTCCTGTATAGATCTATTAGCCCTATGTCTTCTATTTCTTCCTTCAGAGCCATTATTTCATTGCTGAGTTTTAAGCATCTTGATCTATCTAGAGGTGATAAGGCAGCGTTGAATTCTCCAACTACTATTGTGCTGCTTGTAATGTCCTTCTTAAAGTCTGTTAGCAGTTGTTTTAGGTATTTGGC